AGTGTGTGTGTGTGAGAGAGAGAGAGTGTAAGTGTGTGTGTGAGAGAGAGTGTGTGTGTGTGAGAGAGAGAGAGAGAGTGTAAGTGTGTGTGAGAGAGAGAGTGTGTGTGAGAGAGAGAGAGTGTAAGTGTGTGTGAGAGAGAGTAAGTGTGTGAGAGAGAGAGAGAGTGTGTGTGTGTGTGAGAGAGAGAGAGAGAGAGAGAGAGAGAGTGTGTGTGTGTGTGTGAGAGAGAGAGTGTGTGAGAGAGAGAGAGTGTGTGTGTGTGAGAGAGAGAGAGAGAGAGAGAGAGAGAGTGTGTGTGTGTGTGTGAGAGAGAGAGTGTGTGAGAGAGAGAGAGTGTGTGTGTGTGAGAGAGAGAGAGAGAGAGAGAGAGAGAGTGTGTGTGTGTGTGTGAGAGAGAGAGTGTGTGAGAGAGAGAGAGTGTGTGTGTGTGAGAGAGAGAGAGAGAGAGAGTGTAAGTGTGTGTGAGAGAGAGTAAGTGTGTGAGAGAGAGAGAGAGTGTGTGTGTGTGTGAGAGAGAGAGAGTGTCAGTGTGTGTGAGAGAGAGAGTGTAGGTGTGTGTGAGAGAGAGAGTGTAAGTGTGTGGGAGAGAGAGTAAGTGTGTGAGAGAGAGAGAGTGTGTGTGTGTGTGTGTGAGAGAGAGAGAGAGAGAGAGAGAGAGAGTGTGAGTGTGTGTGTGTGCAAGATGGCGGCAGGTTGTAGGCCACTCGCTGGTGCAGGTGAACGCCAAAATGCTGCTTAGAAAAATTAAACCACACCTGTTGTAATTGCCATCGTTAAATGTAATAGGTGCAGATAAGATGCTTTGGCAACTATTGTGGACTGTGATCTCAACAATTAAGCTTGCATACAAACCCTACTAGACTCGACCTTTCTATCTGGTTTCCTACAACTCAGGCTCCTCACTGTCTGCATCACACAGAACAGGGGCCTCATTTATAAAATGTGTGTACGCACAGATTTGATCTTAGAGTGTGCGTACGCTAAAATCCACGGCAACGTTCATATTTATAAAAACGGTTTTTGACGTAAAGTACTTACTGTCACGTCGGGCTCTGCGCAGGCGTACACACTTCTGCAGCTGTTTGAACCTCGAGCTGCACGAATACACGCGGTGTATGTGCGAGCACTCAATTCATCAGAAACAACGAAGATGCAGTGTGAGAGATTAATTGTGAAGTGTGGTCAGATTTGTTTATTAACGGGACTTTGCGAGATTAAACTGACCTTTTTACTAGCTTAATGTTGAGAGTTCTTTACACGCTTTCTGTAGTTTATTCCAAGTTGTTTTGTTTTTTACAAGAGAACTTGCGAAGTCTTGATTTACTACTAATGCGTAAAATAGAAAGAAAATTTAAAAAACTGCATAAACGCATCTCGATGGTTTTGTGTGTGTGTAAGAACAGGCCTGTCGTGCCATAACGGGTTTAATAGCCTATATTCTATTCAGTGACATTGTTAACTGTTTTTATTTATAACCTCTGATGCTTTGCTTCTGTGAAAATGAATAGACATCAGCCTTAAACTTTGTTTTTGTCATTTACATCAGTTATATTTGTATAAAATACACTATATTTGTGTGTAAGAACATTAATGAGCAGCTTTAGTAAACTGTAAATATGAAGAAATGTCCAATCACATGCAGGTTTCAGACCGGAGACCATAATCGTGTAATAATTTATTTTATTATGATATGAAACGTCCCATTCTTCTTTCAATAATGTTTTTAAAGTGTTGCAAGAATTTCGTGATACTAAACTTTTTATTAGTTGTCATAGCAAGTGATTTTAAAAGTAGGATGACTCACTTTTTATAAGATGACCTCACACACATTGTTTGTCCACAGAATAATTACACATTATTAAATAAAAAGCGTCCCGCAGGAACCTGTACCTCCGCCTGCAGGGCCTCAGTTTTTGTGCTCGTCATTCTCAAGCACAGACAGTCTGATACCGGCGTGTGATCTGTTATATGGTAATGATATTAATTAGGGGGCGTTTAAAGGCGAGATCTGACAGCAGTCAGCTGCGCACAGTTTCAAGATCATACTTGCGCACTTTTGAGAAATGATCTTAGACCAAATTTAGGACGGTTTATACACAACATTTTATAAATGAGGCCCCTGATCACTGAAACACTGCCACATGTCCTGAACGGCTGTCGTGCTTACAAGAGAATGTACACAGCACGCCACGACAGAACAGTGCACCTGATAGTGAAAGACATTTCAAACCATTTACCAGCTTTAGTAAGAATACACAAACATTCCTGTGTGAAACCATCTATGTTTCAGTATTGTAGTAGTAATGCCTGTCTGCTAACACACCAGATGCTGTTGTGATTAACGAGGAGTGTAGAGAGGTGTTTGTTTTGGAGGTTGCGTGCACCTTTGACTCTAGTATGGAGGAAGCTTTCATGACTAAAGTCATGATTAAATATCAATCACTCCTAAATACCATTTCAGAGTCAGGTTATAGAGGCCGATTACTTGTTTTCATATTCGGTAGCTCAGGACACACACAGGCTGGTTGTAAGAGGGCTTCAACAACTTGGGCTAAACGTCTAGCAAAGTACTGTGCTTTGTCCTCTATCATAAACAGCCGTCATATATGGCGGAGACGCTGTTATTTATACCCATAACAACTGAGTGATATGCTTAATATTGTGAAGACCTGTTGCATGCCACTGTTCCATGATTTTGTACATGTATTTAACTGCATCTACAATATTTATGTCCCTGTAAATTATTTATTTTAAGTGGACTTTGTTAAAATGTGAGAAAGAGAGTGTGTGTGTAAGTGTGCGTGAGTGTGTGTGTGTCAGAGAGAGAGAGAGAGAGAGCGAGAGGGTGTGTGTGTGTGTGAGAGAGAGAGAGAGAG